AAAGAAAAACTCTACAAAAATCCTTTCACAAAAGAATCTTCAACATGTACACTCTTGGACAGCTCATTTTAGGAGTCTAAGATTCCATCACCTATGGGGCTTTCCTTCCCACTCAGATTTCATCACAATGAATTGCAACTCCATGAATAATAAATCATTTTTTAAAAACTCATAAAAATGAAATTAGATCATTTAAACAGGAAGATCTCAGTGGCGTATGAGGCTGAGGTGGGAGGATGGCAAGTTTGAGGCCAGCCTCAGCAAGTTAGCGAGGCCCTAAGTGACTGAGTGAGACCCTGTCTCCAAATCTAAAAGTAACAAGGGCTGGGGATGTAGCTCAGTGGGTACGTGCTCCTGGGTCAATCCCTAGTCCAAAGGAAGAGAGAGAGAGASAGATGTGGGTGTGTGGGTGGGGAGGGAGAGAAGAGAAGAAAAAGGAGGAGGAGGGAATCCTTTCCCCCAGGCCAACCCACCGCAGCCACAGAAGCTGGTCCCTGCAAACGTTGAGGACAGGGAGGATGGGGACTTGGGGCTGCATAGTGTGGCCAACCCATAGTTACTGCCCCACCAAGAATTCAGAGCCAAAAGTTGCACAAGGGAAAAAAATGGGAGAGTTTTATTTTATCTGCAAAAGACTTTTGCTCCAATCCATTCCTTATACCCCAAACAAGGTCACTTACTCCCTGATTCTTATGCTTTATCACCACATCTTACGAGAAATAGCACAATTTGCTAAATAGAGACTTTTGGAGACGGAGTGTAGGTACCCTGAGGACCTAAGAAATGCCTTTGGGAAACACTGATAGATGAGCTTGTCTGCAAATGAGAATACCTGTCTCCACGTGTCCCCGTCCACTTGAACGACAACCGTGTCTGTAAAGTCCCCTTGTCAAGAGGCTGTGTGTGCTGGCTCAGGGGTACCCAAGCCCATCCACCTGGATGCTCCAGTTCTGCCAAAAGTCTCCCCTGAAACTCCCTCCCATTTGCCATACAGAGGTGCTCCCTCCAAAATCCGCATAAAACCGGATATCCGGGGGAGGGCTGGCCRTGGGGGGAGGGGGAGGGCAAATATAAATACCAGCTCCAACTGGTGAGACAGAGGTTGTAAAAATTAATGAGAATAATTGTTGTGAATTCTTGCTTTTGAAAAAAAAAATAGGGGAGGAAAAAAAAAAACTCATGAGAGCCAAAAATCTTAATTATGTCTCTCTATTAGGGGTTCATTTCCTGGTCCCAACCAGAAAGCTCGTACCTCATAAATACAGGCTGCGTACACAATGATTTAAGCAGGAGGAAAATGCTTTTTGATGGAAAAGTGAGTTAATATTGGGGGATAGAGCCGCTGGCATACACAGCCATGGTCGCAAGAGCAGGGAAATGAAATGCCCACGTGACCTTTTTTTAACACCTAAATATTTCTGGGCATGGCTGCCGAAAACTGCAGTGAAAACCTTACAAAAACATGTTTCACAGGGTGAACGTCGCCGGGGAAGATTCGAGTGTTTAAATATCTTTCTCAAGCTGTCAACCATCTGGGGAAATAATTCCCAAATCCAGCTTGGGATCACAGCTGGGCTGAGGAAATATGTCTCGTCATTAGGAGCCCTTGTGGGCTCAGGCATGTGACTGCAGCCCAAGAAATGAGCTCTTGTCGCCTGCCTACCCCCACCTGGTACCTGCGCCCACGTCCAGAAAGACCATCCCCAAAGCAACGCACGGAGCTCTCAGACCAAACAAAAAGGGACTTGTATTTTCCCAAAGTGTCCTGGCAATCGAATCGCGTGGATTGCTTTTCTTGCCCTGATCCTTTGTCCAAAGCAAAATACAAGATGAAGGGTCCTTGAATTGACGACATGATCAGGGAATGAACCCAGGAAACCACAAAGAGGAACACTGGTAGTTCTTTTTCAACCACAGTAATAAGAACTTATTTAAAATCTCCCGTCTTTCCGATTCTAAAATAGCCAGGGAGTGACACTGAGTAGGCTGAGTATTCCAGAATGTTCGTTTGGAACAGAGTTGCCCCTCCTAACAGATCAGTGAAGTCTTCCACCAATGGCTGGATCACCAGGAGGGGCATTTGGAGCTAACTGGATGCCAAGCCCTGCCCTGCACCTCTCCAGGTCTATCTCGGGTCATCGTCCTGATGATCCTACAGGGTTGATGTTCTTATTATCCCCATTTTACAGATAGGAAAAATGGATCAAGTCCATTGTCCAGAGTCGAATGGATGTGAATCCAAACAGTCCGCCGCCCCCAGAGTCTCCCTGGCAACCTACACGGCGTAAGAGCCCAGCTGGATTCCACCCATGGAGTCAGAATTCTCAATACCCGTTCCAGGTGGGACAATAAAGTAATGAGAACAAGTCCACAAATCATATGCAACCCCGGCCGCTTATTTAAATCACACGTCGTATATCCATAGGGGAAATGTTTGCAGGGTCTTGGACTCTACTGGAAATGTGTACAGCCGTGGACTTGCTCCTCACACAGCAAATAGATGCCTTTGAGACTCTAAGAGTTAGAAGGGAAGGAAAACCCAGTGAGCCTGGATGTCTCCTAGGAAATCCTTTCTCTGCCTGCCAAAGAATATGTCAGGCTGGCTAGAAAGACCTCTATGTGCAGTTCAGCTGGGCTGTCTGATCCAGATAAACAACAACAACAAAAGAATTCCTGTATGCAAACCCTGAYTGTGATCATCAAATGCACACACATCTCAATGTACCGCTGAAGATGCACATTTTAGACCTGTGAGCATTTAGACAGAGCACAAAATCCACACTTATGCACCCCCCCTCCTCAGGCATCCATTCACGTGCACAGATCACTAAATATATACAGGGCAGAGAAGAAAATTTTGAAAAGAAATTTGGGAGGTATTGGATATTTTCATGAGTTCCACCGAAAGTTTTACTGGCATGCACGTATGTCAAGTGTGAAGTTGTATGTATGCTTCAAGGGGCTGGGGAGTAGCTTAGTGGAAGAATGGGTGCTTAGCTTTGTCTAAGGCCCTGAATTCAATCCCCAGCTCTGCCCCCCAAATACATAAATAAATGTGTACTTCAAATATTGCAAGTGATGTTATGATATAAATAATGCTGCAAACAGAGAAGAGGAGAGGGAGACCTTGATGGGACCTAAGATCATAACTATATAGAATCCAGAATCTTTCCCCCAAGGGCCCGAGGTCTGATGTGGTTTTTAGAAGATCACTTTCAAGTGTGCACTCCTTCCCCTATGAACCTGGCCTTTCTTCAGAGAGAGAGAGAATTGGAAAAAAAAAAAAAAAAAAAAAAGATCTGATATACTCCTGGACTCTGTGTCAGATCTGGGAGCCCCTGAGCATCTATACATGTAGGTGAGGCTTCAGCTTCTTGATTGCTATTTCTCCTGTGACCACACTGGTTTGCCACAGCCTTAGAGGAGACAGTTTTCAAGAAGCCAGATTCTAACTGGTCTGAAATAGTTCTACTGCTCTCGGGAATTTGGACTTCACTGTTTCTCACCCTTGGCTGGAGGGTCAACAGGAGGAGAGGACTCAGAAAAATCTTCCTTCTCCTTTAAAAAAGCTGTTGCTTTTTTTCAAGGGAAGGAGGCTCTCCCTTAAGATCAGGAAGGAGCCATCCATCACAGCTTGGCCTGGTCACTGACAACCTGAATTTGGAGATTACCCAAAGCCTGTTCTAACAGCCCTGGCCTCGGTGGGGGGATTATCTGCCACCCAGCCTGCTCTGGAATGACCTCGATGGGGTAACTGGAGGCTTTAGAGTGCTAACCCTCCCCTGGCCTCTCTTGCTAGGCTCCACAGCCTTTGCGGTTTCCAGGACAGGGGCTATGGGAGGGGGAGGGTCACAGCCATCCCCACATCCATCCAGGTAAGATGAGTGACCTGCCCTCACTCATCCCACAGGGACTGCCCCCCCTCATCGTCCAACCTGGCCACCCTCACTTGAACTGCCTCTAAAGGGAGGACACTGACTCTAACAGAAGAGGTTCTTCCACGGAGGGTAGTGCCAGACACCTTCCCCTCCATGCTAAAATGATGCCTTCTGGTGGCATTTGAGTGAGTGGCCATCTAAGCCATGACAAGCTCAGTCAAACAGGTGTGTGTGTGCATGACAGCTGCATCCAGCAGTAGGAACCACCCCACTCTTAGGCTGCAGTTCTGCCCTGCCCCGCACTTTGGGGTAGAAGTTGTGCAGGTGCACACCGCACACTGGTAGAGAGCCTGCCTCAGAGCACAAAGTTGCAGCCAGGACCAGACTGCATATTCACGAAGCCAGCAGACAGTCCCAGGTGCTGCCTGCTGGGGGCGGGGCTCACCTTGTGATTCTGATAGGAAGTCACCGCAATAAATGCCGTCTCCGGGAAGACGTGGGTGCAGAACGCTGTATTTTTTGAACCGAATCCATTATTTTCATCTGCTTTCACGATGTGTAATCTGGGCTGGTATTTGTGCATGGAATTTAGAATAATCTAAAAATAATAAAGAGAATGAGATTGTAAGAAAATCAAAACTCCCTTTGTTTCCAGATAAATCCCTGCTCCCTCCCTCCCCCCCCCCCCAATTAGCCTCCTGCGCTATAGGCTCTCTCGGAAAAATAGTCATTTTTTTCCCTTCTGTTTTGAAAAGGGGCCAATGATTTCATTAAAAAGAAACATTTCAAAAATGACAATTTCCAACTAAAAAAGCCAAGGTAATATTCCAGGAATCTACCCAAGGCACACACAGCAGTAAATCAGAATTCTTAATAAAGTTTGCTTAATAAATTAACTCTCTGCATAGGGCACTTCCCACACCCCCAACGGGAGCTTAGGGAGTCTGCTTTGGGGAGCAAATGAGTCTGGGGAGGCTGGGCAGCAATTTGGGAATGACTAGGGTCAACAAACAAACAAACACCCACACCCCAGGACAGCCAAACCCTCTAGTCATGTAAAGGAGGACACTAAGCTTTTGCAAAACTGGAATGAAAATGAGACTTTTCCTGAGACTTGGACCTCACATCTTGGCCCTTTGTGAAACAGGCAAACTAATGTCAATAAAGAGACTTTTAGGGGTGGGAAGTGCAGCCTGGACTCTCAGGAGAGCCAGATATGGGCAGGAAGCACCCGGCAAACCACCCCATCAAAGCGCTGGGCGGGTTGCCCTGGAGACTCCCCTTCTCCAACTTTATCTCATCATCCACAACCAACGTCATCTCCAGGCTCGGAGCTGGTGCATCTGCTTGGGGGGGGGGGTATGTGCTTTTTCTCTCTCCCTCCTGCCCGCCTCCCCCATCGTAGGGTGCTTCCAGGGGAAGGTCTCCCTGCTTGGAGGACCTCCGCTGGATGCACGTTCTTGCTGGAGCCAGGACTATTCACAAGCGAGGAGCATCGCTTCTAATAAAACCGGGTTTGTTGTCCTGATGACGCCCGGATTTGGATGCTCCCGGACCATTAACACTAATATTTACCAAAACTGTCCTGGTCCATGCCCACTGAATGGGCGAATCGCTGGCCTTTAACGGCCCCCAAATCTGGCCTGCTTTTTTCCCCAGGACCACAATCTGGAGCGACTGGGATTGTCTCAATGTCTTTGATTATTTGCTTCGATGACCCTGGGGCAGGATTTTCGGACAAACCCGGAGGCCCCGCAGCGCGGAGGGGGAGGGGCGGCCGCTCGCGGCCCTGCGCTGGCGACCCGGCCGGGGCTCTAATCTCCGGCCGCCGGGCCCGGCCGCCTCCCTGGCCGATAGCGACGCCGGCCGACCGGGGCAGCGTGGCGACAGAGAGACGCAGCGGCCCCCGAGGGCAGCCACAGCCCCCGGCCCGGCGCGGCCATCCTCCCGGCTTAGCCAAATTGCCTTGACGGCTGGGGACAGTGTGGAAACGTCAACGCCAGGGCGATCTAATGGCTCCTAATTTCATTAGGGAGGCTCTGGATTAAAAGTCCAGAGTTTGGGATAGAGCACCTCTCCCGCTTCCCCGGGGCTGCTCAGAGGGACCTGAACCCCCAAACTTGGGGCAGGGCTGTGTACCTTCCCCAGATGTCCACCCCAGAGTGACCCCAAAGGCACRGCAGAAAATCAGAGGGGAAAGTTAGGAGGTGGCCTGGGGTTGGGGGAGCCCTCACTTCCCAGCATGATTCCATCCCCTCCCCGGACCAAACCCCCTGACTACCCAGCCAGGAGATGCACATGAGACCTTTACAAAATGGTCCCCCCTTCCTCAGAATCCCTTGAAATATAAAATGTCTGTTTGGAATCAGCAGAGTGACTCCTTTACCCTGGGCCATCACCCCACCCAGGAAAGACAGAGTTGATTTCTGCACTGGGTGCATAGAAAGCAAGGCTCAACAGAAAGGAGGCTCTGCTGTTTGGCTGGACGCTTTCTGCATCCCTTGGAGCCCTCCCGGGGACAGAGAAAGGGCAGGGGACTTTCTTCTCTCTGGCCAGCAGTTCAGCCTCTTCCCACCCCAGGGGCTGTGGCTGCCTCGGGGGGCCGCTGCATCTCTCTGGGGTGGGTTTGTGCGGAGTCCTAAGACCTGGCAGGAGGAGATTCCTCATCTGAACTTTCACTACTGTGCTCCCTCATGGCCAAATCCATTCCCACCCCACCCCCTCCTTTCCCTAATCTGGAGACCACGTGTCCCTCAGTTGCTGTACTCGGGAGAGACAACCTGGTGGGACAAAGAGTCTCTATGGAGTTAGAGCTACCCTCAAATCCCTGATCCCAAATGCAAGCTGTGTGACCTTGGACAAGTCACCTCCACTCCCCGGTGCCTTTTGTCTTCCTCTCTAGGTTACAGTGAGGATCAAATGCCCCAGGGTGAAGGAGCCCATTATGAAATTGTCAAACAGGGACCTCCTCACTGAATTCCTAGACTGTTCTATCTAATTATTTCTATCATTAGAAATAATACAAAGAGATTTAGGGACATCCCCCCCCCCAAAAAAAAGAATCAGTGTTTTGTTCTTTGTTTTCTTTTGAGGAAGAGGGGGTAACACCCTGCTGAGAATCCCCTAAAAGCTACCTGCTGACTGGGCAGGAGGGGGGCGGCTGCACACTCAATATCCAGCATATGCTGTCAGGGAATTCACCAGGTCCCCCTCTTGGAACCAACCTAGACTCCTCTGATGGCTTCACTGGCCACCTGTAGAGAAGGGGCAGACCACCTCCCTCTCACCCAGGACATTTAAAAAATGAGACCGAACCTGGAAGGGGACAGGGAAAATATATGCTCCCCTGTGAGGCCTCTCCTGTACTGGGTCCCTGCTGAGCCCCAGTGTCCGTGTTGTTTGCATAACTGAAGGCCCCCACCTCTCGCTGCACCTAAGGCACAGGCTGACCCCACTGTCCAGGCCTGGGATGAGCAGCCCCAAGACTCTGGACCTTCAATAAAGGCAGAAGATCGGGGGTTGGCGGCACAGAAGCAGCCAGGAGAACCGGGAACCCAGGCTCCAGCCAACAGGAAAATACAGACCCAGGAGACCGTCCCCCAGGAAGGACAGCTGAGGGTGGGCCCTCTGAGCAGGAGGGTGGTGGAGACAGAGGAGGAAGTGGTAACGAGGAAAAGAAAGCAAGGGGAAACCTGAATGAGGAGGTGAGAACTACAGGAGAAGGAAAGAGGAGGCGAGAGAGGGAGGAAAAAGAAGAAAATGAAAGACCAAAAGCCAGATCAAAAAGGGACCTGGGAAGGGGGGGAAATGGAGGAAAGAAATGGAGAATCATGGACACGTGAAGCTGAGAAGAGCCAGCGGGGAGGCTGAGGACGGAGAGGGCCGGGGTACTTACGTGCCCAAAGGGGTCCAGGTGGTTGTTGGTGAGCTTGAGTTTCTGGAACGAGACGAGCTGTCGCATCCAATGCGCCCCTGTGGCTGGCGAGTCAGGGTGCACATAGAGGCGGCCAGGCATGGCAGGCTCTGCTTTGCCGGTCACAGACCTAAACCAAGGAGAGGCATGACCTGGGGGCTGCGGTAGCAGAGGTACTGCACCAGGCAAGGGCTGCCAAGCACTGGCCGGGGACATCTGGGATCACTCTGACCCTCCCGTCTCCTTTAGGCTCCCAGGTGCCCCTGAGTGCCTGGCGCAGGCATCCAGGCCAATCCCCTGGCCCGACTCTTTCTTCAACCACCTCAAAGTTCCCCTAGCACCAGGCGTGCCTGGGACCCTGTGGTGTCTCAGGGCACACAACCAGGCTGGTTCTGGAAGCCTGAATGTGCAAAAGAAATCTTGAAAACTCCTTAAGTGCTTTCAAAGAGGGCCTCCTCCTCTTGAAGCCCCTGCACTCCTGGAAGCCAGGGAGCCAAGGAATGGGCCTCTCCTCTCTTGCCTTTTTAAACTAAAATGCCACGGGCCGATTTTGTAATTTCATAAAAAAGCCATGTTCAAAGCAGGTAACTCATAAAAAATAACTGTAAATGGTTTTATGCCCCCCAGAAATACATTCAGGGCTTGGTAACAATACTCTTTTTTAAAAAATCCGGAGCCCATGTGTGCAGCAATAGAGGGCCCCATTTCCTCTGAGCCTCAGTTTTCTGGTCTATCAAATGGGAACTAATGGCTGCGGGGGGGGGGGGGGGGCGGGGGGGGGGTCAGCCGGCTGCAATAGAATAGTCATGAGCAAGCCTAGGAGCACACAGTGGGAGCTAAAAAATGTTTACTCGTTCAAGGTGGGGGATTCCAATTCCCTCCCTGCCCTCCTCCTGTCCGGTGCCTACCATTTATTATCTGCAAACTTATATCTGTGGTCATCCGCAGGAACAATGTCCATGAGGAGGATATACTTCGTTTTGGGATTAAGCCCAGTCACCTTGACTTTATAACTGGGAAACATCCGCCTAGGAGAGAGAGGTGGAGGTGGGGAGAGGGAATTGATGTCAATATTCTGAGAAGCATGTCTGCAGATTTTAATGGAAAATGCAATTCCTTGAAACAAGTAAAACGGAGGAAAAACTGGCTCCACTCCACTCTCCCTGAGATCCATCCCGGGTTTCCCTTGAAGTTCTGGTGTGGGGAGGGGGAAAGCAAAGGGATGGGAAAAGAGGAGGCACCTGGGTACCTGTGGGGACCTGGGGGAAACAGCAACCAGTGGCTGCTTAGAGAGAAATGGTTTTAAAGAAGGCTTGAAAGGGACCCCTTTCAAATCCAACTAAATGCTCCTCTCAGAGCCAGCCACCTACTCTGGAGGAAAGGACTGGGGTCAAACCTAGCCCCCTTCTATCTGCCCAGGTGCTCTGGTCCATCTCTGCATGACTGCAGCGTCAATAGACACCGAGGTGTGCGCCCTAGGGACGCGCAGCCCGTGGGTATGCATCTGCCCCGGGTCCTGGCTTTTGTTGTCCGCCCTCAGGGGCGGTTCCCAGTTTAACTCGGTGGGTGACCCCCACGGGATCTTCAGCGGGAATTCATTCTTAAACGCCACACTTCCCCAAGGCGCCTGGGGCAGTCTACGTTCCTTGGCCCTTGGCAAAGAAATTCCAAATCTATCCAGATTTGGTTGCAGCAAGAGCTGGGGCCTGACCTGGGGTCGGTGGGCGGAAAGCCGCTGCGCGCAGCAGCCTGGTGCCGGCTACTTCTGGGCGCGGGGCGCACTCCACGCTCCCATCCCGCCTCGTGAGTTGTACGCCCTGGGAAGCAAGGCTCCTCCCGGCTGAACTGGGGCGAAAGGACCAGATGCTGGACCTGGGCTGGCTCCGCGCTGGCGGGCAGGGTGAGCCGAGGCCTCTCCCTAAGCCTCGGTGTTTATCTGGCCGAGCAGCGCGCCTGGCTGGAGGCGGGGGCGCAGGAGACTTCGCAGGCCTTTTATAGTTACATCCTCGGCTCGGGCTAGGGGGGAAAGGATCCCAGCCCGGGCTTTCCTTCCCCGGCGGACTGGGAAGAGGACCTCAGTGCCCTGGTATAAACAGATCGCGCGCCTCCCAGTTCACTCCGGCCTTGGGCCGAGCGGAGGAGCCGACATTGTTTAATTTCAAATAATAATAAATGTCACGGTTGTCAGTTTATTGTGGGAGGCTTGGAGCAGGAGAACCGCGGCGTCTGCAGAATCGGCTGCACCCTCCGCCTTCGYACACCCCGGCGGCGTGGGCCTGCCGGCCTCCCTCGCTCCACGCGCGCGCTCTGCACAGACCCGAGGCCTTCCGCACTTCCCGGCGCGGAGGACCCATCCAGCCCGGGGATGCTTGCGGCGGGGATGTCCTCAGGCCTGGGCAGGAGCCCTCTCACACAGGGAGGCACAGAGCTAGCGGCACGACTCTGCCGTCCCCTCCCCCATGAGTCTGGCTTTTCCAGCTCCAACTCCGCGAGCTTTGAAGGGGAACTCTGGGGCCAGTCTTGGCCAAGAGGCCGTGTTTATCGGTGTCTGCGTATAGAGCTCCACCGAGCCCCGATTCAGTTTCAAAGGCTTCGCCTGCGTTCTATAAACAATGGAAGAGGTAGCGAAGACATCCAACAATTCAGAGTTTGGCCATCGGGTGGGACGCTGGAACCACTCCAAGGTCAGGGAGGGTGGGGATGCGGGTGGGGGCGAGGGATCCAGTCCGAAACCTAGGAAACCCAAAGCCCTGCTCTGTCTTCCCTTTCTCTCTTCGCTCCATTCTTCCTCTTCTTTCTCTCACTACAAATCCGYCCAGAGAGCATGGCTTCCATGCTTTTTATTCTTCCTAAATATGAGCTGGAAGAAACACCCAGCTTCCAGAGTTGAGGGTTTGGGGTGTATCCCCATCCTTCTGAGGGCCAGTGGAAGGATTCTCAATGTGCCTCTTTAACCAGAATTGAGTCAAATATTTTATCCCCCCTCCCCCAGCTAATTCTTTCTCTAGACCCCAATCCTCTCTCCCTCTCCATTCTCTCCTGCTCCCCGGCCACATTTTTTCTTCTTCTTCTTTCCTCCCTCTGTGCCCCTGTGCTCCCTCCAGACCCTCAGCCAACTCACCTTCCAGCCTTCGTTATGATCATTTCTGTGCCCACTTCGTGAAATTTCAGCCACAGTTCTCTTTCGTGGAGAAACACCTTGATTCCTTCCATGCCCTGCAGGCATGAGAGAAAGATGGCAAGTGAGAAGCTTGGGTGGCAGTGGACATTTCTTCCCAAACTGCAAGAAGGCTTCTCCCACCGCCTTGGTGCCTGTGGACTCAGAGGGTGAAAAGTGCCTCAGTCAGCTGCAGAGTTGTCTGGGCTCTGGAGCACCCTACAGCCTCGCCCAGGAATCCCTGTGCCGGCTCAGCCGTGAGGGGGCAACCAACGACTACTTGATTCTCCAGTGTCATACAGCCCCCCTAATGTCCTCAACACAAAGTTTGAGAGTCATCACCAATATTAGGGGTCTCCAGGACTGTGGGGAGGACCCACGGGCCAATTTCAATTCACTTCCAGCTGGGAAACAGGGGGCCTCAATCTAGAAAAAAATAAAACACCGAGGACATTCTTTGTAGACACCCATATGTCCACTCGCAAAACTTATGAATATGCAACTCATGTGCCTGTAAATGTTTACCCTCTATCATGGTAGAACATACAAGGAATTTTAAATATAAAAAATTTATTATGATTATATGATATGTTGCTACAGTCGAGAACACAAATTCTATCTTAATAACCTTCCCGGGCCCTCTGTTCACTTTCAGCAACTTGGAATATGGGGAACAGCCGAAACCGATGTTTTCACTTTCGACGAAAAGTTATTTTACAAAATCAACGCAAAAAAATAGATATGAAGTCTTTCTTTAGAAACAATGGATAATTGTCTAAAAAGTGGATTTACTTTTCCAGAAAAGAAAAAATTCTGAGCCCTGAGCCCTGGGTATACTTCCATCATCCCAGCAACTCAGGGTGGTGAGTTCCAGACCAACCTAGGCAATTTAGCAAGACCCTGTCCCAAAGTTTTAAAATAATAATAAATTAATTTAAAAGCCTGTCTAAGGCCCTGGGTTCAATCCCCAGTACCAAAATACTAAGGATGATGATGAGTCTAAGTTTCCCTAACTGTGCTTGCAGGCTGTGTAAATATTACGCCTGTTTTCCTGAAATAGGAAGACAAAAGAGAAAGTCTGGAAGGGCATCGAAATTTAAGGAAGGCTGAAGCTATGTGTACGAATCTCTTCTGGTCAAGTCAACCGCTTTGCGGTCTGTGACATCTATTTTAAAACCGTCATCGGTCTTGTGGCCGCCTGGTGCACCCAGTGAGCCGAGGGTTAGGGCGCGGAGCGCAAGCAGGGCTCCTCCCTCTGCTGGGGCCCAGCTTCAAGCCAGGCGAGCCCGAGACTTCCTGTGCCCTCTCGGGCCGGCCTCCTGCGCTCCCCTCGGCCTGCGAGGGCGCGCTAGCCCGCCAGGCCCCGACCGCAAGACAAATGGTGCGATGCGCGGGTCTAGGCAGCGGGGAAGGCTACGGGAGATCTAAAGAAGGGTCAAGCCATCGCTCATGCCGGCCTGAAGCAGCCGCTGACCCGGCTCTTAATAAAGCGCTCAGGGCCAATTCTACACCTAATGCAGCAGGCCAGGAATTCTCTGGGCTATTGTTTGCTGACCTCAAATAGCCAGATAATTGAGATTTCTCTAAAATTTAACTAGCTTTCAAAAATCCTCAGGCCATAAAGATAATCTCATCATAAAATGCATAGGAATACCCTGGTATTTGGGGAGACAGGGCAGAGAGCGGTGGGACTGAGTGGGAATAACAAGGAAAAGGGTCCGTAATAAGCCTTAGGCTCCGCACCCCTCCCCTGCGCCCGCAGAAGGAATCCAGCAAACCAGCGGGACTCCAGTCGGCTTTGGTGTCTGCAAAGGGCCTTCAGGTGCAGGGTCTGCTTACCTGCTGGGTGAAGGCGGCCTGCGGAGACGACGGGGACTTGCTGGGAACCCCTAGTGTAGTCTCCGGTTTTGAATCGCAGGACAGGTCTTTTGAGTCAGGCTCCAAAGGCGTGTGCGCCAGGCCAAAGCCCTCGTCTGTGTCAGCCATGGTGTGCCCAGGGCCCTGTGCCCGTTTGAGGTTCTGCWCTGAGAGAGAGAGAGAGTTGGGGAGTGGAGAATACAGCTTCAGCGACAGGAGGGAGCAGTTTGACCCCGTTTCCAGCTACCAGCCCCTCGGTTCCCAGCTGAAGGAAACGGCAGAAAGTCCTATTATTATTATTACTATTACTTTCTGACCACGCACAATCTCTTGCGAAAGACCCGCGTCAGACCCGGAGGAGGAGAGGCCCCCATCTCCCCTGCGCAGGCTCTCCACGATAAGCGAGCTGCCCGTCAAATTTGTCTGAACTCCTGAAAGAGCCAATAAAGATAAGGGTCGGTATTTTTGGAAGCCATTGGGTACCAACCAAATACAAAACAAAACAAAAACTCAGTCTCCTTTAGAGAATTTCTTTTCTTTGTCAAACTGCAGGAGGCCATCGGAATTTTTTTTTATTAAACCTCAAGAGAGGAATAGTTATCTGCAGCAAGCAGAATGCTTGCAATAACCCGCCTCTAGCAAAACCCCCAAACCGAGGAAGGATGTCCAAACTGAGAGACCAGGTTCAAAAGAGAATTCGTGTGCATCTTTATCAGCTACAGGCCCTAAGATGAAAAGTCCTCTAAGAAAAGGAAAAAMGTCATCCCTTAGCTCCAACCCTAAGCAAGACTTATTTTAAAAACTAAAACGTAGCCATACGGAAGGCTCCCGAAGGAAAGCGGCGGCTCTGCAGGTCGGAGAGAGAGGAGCACCCGGTGCCGGCCGCCAGCGCTCCGCGGCCGGCGGGGGGTGCGTGTTCTCCCGGCTTGCTCGGCTCTCCGCGCTGGGTATTTTTTCAAGCGTCCAGGCCGAGAGGAGCGTCTCCAAGCTGCAGCCTGGCCTGGCTCGCTGAAACGGCAGGCAGGACTGGCTCGGGGTTGGCGGGGACAAAATTGGTCCCGCATAAATCCTGGGCTCCAGGCGTTGAATGGGTCTCGCGTTCTGCCGCGGTGGGGAGAGCGGCCCGGGGTCGCAGGCGTAAGAGGATGGAACCCGCAAAATCGCAGCCACAAGGCCGTTGGAGCCGGGATGGGTCTGTCTGCTTCCAATCTCCTCCACATTTCCAAGGAGGGATTCCCACCACCGTCACCACCACCCTGCCTCGAAGCAGGGCAAGATTTTGGGAAAGGAGTGCAAACGACGGTCCCCGCAGCATAAGCATAGGCAAGCGGTTGAATTTCCCTGGTCTGTAATGGCTCAGACCTAAACAGGGGACCGAGAAGGACAGCTTCTGAGGCCAGACCTCCAAGCAGCTTCCTTCCCCTCGGCCTTGGGGATTTGGGGGAGGCAGTCCTAGGAGCTCCGGCAGCCTGCTTACAACAAAAGAACGCAGGGCCGGCGCCCCCCACCCCCACGCTCCCATTCACTGCGGATCCAGGAGAGAATCCCACCGCGAGCCCTTGCCAGGGTCCGGGGGAGCTCGGGGCTGGCGGAGACGAACAAGATGCGGTTTGACAGAACCAGGCCGCGCGTCCTGCAAGCCTCAACGCCTCTCCTCCCGGGCTGCACTCGCCCGGCATCTCCGGCCGCGCAAACCCTCTGCGAGCTGGGCGCTGCAAGACGCAGGGAAGGCTGCAGTCCGCCATTCGCGCCTCTGCAAGCGGATTCCGCGCCAGCAGGCTCCCTCCCGAGTCTCCCGGGCCATCTGCGGGGACCATTACCTCGCTCGGCGGAGCCGGTGCGTTCACCACATTCCCTCCTGGCTCCTAGCAGGCAAGCCGGCGGCGAGGTGGGGGTGCAGGCATGGTGACTCCGAGGTTTACGCTGGGGACTGCTTGCCCAGCCTAGCGTCTACTGCTGCCTACAAAGGAGCACCCACCGCTGGAGTCTCTGCGGCGCCTGCCCACCTCCAACACACACCTCCTCGGTGTGCTCTTGCTCTCCTAAAGGGCTCCGACTTGTCAGGCGCCACAAGGGCTCCGAAAAATACAAAACAGCAGCTCTGGGAGTGCCAGCAACCTTAGAACCTCAGCGCCAAGTCCTCCCTTGCACCCCCAGGGAGGGAAAGTTGGGAGACAAGAGAAAGCCGCGGGGAATTGTCCAAGTCCTTCTCTGAGCACCGCTTTCAGGGTTAAAGTTCCGGAATTTGAGGTAAGAGTCTCAGAGAATCAGAGTCAGTCTCTCTCTCTCTCTCTCTCTCTCTCTCTCTCTCTCTCTCTCTCTCTCTCTCTCAGAAATACAAGCCAACTTTGCTGAGTTCAGTGACGTTGAATTGCCTTGATGCTAACAAAGTACTGAAATTGCCTATCCAACTAGCTCCCACCACACACTGCCTGCCCCTTCTCTCTCTCTCTCCCTCTCCCCCCACCCTCCACCCTCCTCCACCACCTTTTCCACTTTTCCACCAGATTTCCCGAACATTCAAATCACAACAGGACTCTCAACCTCAGACCTGGCAATGGTCCCCTCTTCTTTGCCCCCTCCCCAACCTTCATCCATCTCCGTTGCTCTAGACCAGCAGTGGCTGCACAAGAAAAGAAAGAAAAGAAAAAAGTCTTCACAAATCCTGGTAAACCCAGCCCCGCTTCTATCCGGGAAGTACAGTAATTTCAGCGACTGGCCCTGCACAGAACTGAGTCTGAACACACCAGAAGTGTGCGCACTTGCACATACATACACACACACACACACACACACACACACACACACACACCATGGATGGGCCTCTGAAGCCTGCATCCTGTCTCCAGAGTTGGTCTCAGAGGGAGAACTGTGTGACCCCCACCTAGCTGGACAGGGCCAGGGTGGCTGCCCTGACATCTCTCCCCCACCCCCCACTCCTCACCCCCACTCTAAATGACTGTGGGTGAGGCAGAGTGAAGGTGCACTGGGATGGGGGCCAAGATCACAGATGCCAAGAAATCGCCATCAGTCCCCAGCCTCCATCCCCCCCACTTCTGCCAGGGTCAGCAGGCTGCCCTGGCTGGACATGTACACAAGGCAGTGCCCGGTTTTATTAACATAATCAAGCCGTCATTGGAAACTGGCTGGGTCTGCATCTCCGTGCGCTCCTCTCCCTGCCCCTCTCTAAAATGCAGTATTTTGAGGTTCAGTTGAAGAGGCCAATAGAAGCGTAAACACAAGAGGTCTCCGTGTGAGCAGACCCAGATTGGGGCACCAAGTCTGGGTGCTTGGAAGAAATGTCAGCAGTTCCTCTGTTTTCCCATAGTGTGCCTGCCCTCTTCTTGTTTGGGGCTCTAATTAGGGGCTCAGGTCCAGAAAAATCCAGATCTGGAGAGAAGGATGTAGGGAGCAGAAATGACCCAGAGACCAGCAGTAGTATGGCCCTCTGTGACTGCTCTGCCAATTTCCCAGGTCAGGTCACCACTGCAAAATTCCAAAGTGGACTGTCCAACCCTAGATGTGGGGCAACTTGGGAGTAAAGCAACTCTCCACCTTCGGGGTTTGTTTTCAAATAGACCTTGGCTAAGGCAATTTGTTTATTTGTGCAAACACCTTCGCTCTCCCAGAATGTCAGCTCAGAGGCTAAGGAGGCAACCTCGGGCCAAGGGTGGACACCAGCGATGCTATCAGAATGAGCCTGAGTTTCTACATCTCTGCTGGAAGGAAGGGGAAATCCAGAAAGATCTCTCCAATCCCTTTAAATTCRTAGAGATTTGCGGATGAAATTAATTCCCATAAATAATCTGTAGGCCCTTCCCAAGAGGGAAAAAATCTGGACTCCCCCAAGTAATAGCCCAGCCAGATTCACTTCGTTCCTGGAGCTTAGCTATAGCCCGCCACTGGGCAAAATCGGATTTTTAAACCCGGTGGGGGGGAAATCCATTCTTGCCAGGTGACACACCGAGGCAAAATGCAAGAGGGTGCCTTCCTATCTTGCTCAGGAACAGCAGCAGAGCTGGGTGGGGGCACCCAACAAGACAGAAATTGGGTGAGAAGCAGAGATCCGCCAGCAGAGGAAATTATCTATCCCCCCATCCCAAGTCGCCAGGTCCACACTCACCTCCAAAAATCCCACCTCTTCTTTCCAGAAAGCAGCAGGGACGCCTCCCTGAGGCAGGGGCTCAGGTGAAGAACTTTGAAAGCACCCCGAAAAAAGAAATCTTTTAAGGCCAGGCCTTCTTCTAGGTTCTGTCAAGAGGAACACGGCACCTCCTAGCTCGTAGTTGGTTTGTGGTCTCCGACAAATTAAATATTACTGTTTATTACCAGGCATACCCCAATAAAATAAAGAGGCAACCAGGCGATACGGACTATCTCACCAGCCGCTGCACCTATAGGACTCAGAGACGTCATGAGTCACGCAACCGGCCCGCGCACTGTCACGCTTGACTGGGGGGCAGCGGCGGGAGGTTAATTTCTCTCCATCTTCGTCTCTCAGTCCTGGATCTTTGCGGCCACCAGTCCCGGACGCCTCGGCCCCGGGGAATAAATAAAGAAATAAACAAATCCCGTGCTCTCCGGGGCAATGGGGGTGGTGACCATAAGACACGAATAGAACCAAGATCGATTTTCTCAGAGAGGGGRAGAGGAGGGGATAACAAAGTGGGCTGGGAGTCCGCCTCGGCACCCACTGGACAGAAATCGAGTTGTTTGGGGGGAACTGAGGACTCTTGCAGGAGACAAGGGATTCTTAGTATTTAAAATGTACTTTTTTTTTTTTTCCCAGAGGAAGAGCAGTTGTCAAATGAATGTCCAGGCGCCCCTCTAGCTGATCGTGTTTGGTACGCGAGACCTGAGCGCCCAATTGCCGACCTGCATGGCAGTCAGGACTGGGCTCTCACCAAGGGGGAACCAGACAGAGAAGTTCCCAGGCAGAAAGGGGTTCKCCCGCAATGTGGCAGGGAAAGGCCATTCTGCGAAAGCTCCTTTAACCAGGTCTGGGGATGCAATTTGTCCCGGCGTGGCCCGGCGGGGGCGGGGTGCGAGTGGGTGGTGGGGTGGGGGTGGGGTGGACAGGGGTGATTTCTGCAGAGAAAAAATAATCGCGCCAGGTCCCGCGGAGGGACGAGACACCCTATTTTGTTGTGTAATAACAATTATTTCTAATGTGAGCAATGGGCCTCATGGCTAAGACGCGTGGATGTCCGCAAGCTTTTGCACGCAATTGGAAACTCTCTGCGTTGGGTTGCGAAACGCATCGCGTAGACGCCCCTGGCGGCGCCCAGCGAGGAGCTTAGGCCTGCCCGGCCGAGCCAGCGATCGCCAGGCCTTCCGCAAGGGTAAGTTCCCCCCCAGGGGCCCCGAGGGAGCCGGACGTCTGAATTTCGACTCGTCCTTAGCTTTGGGGCTCGATCCTGGGTTTTGCGCGCCCCCAACCCCTGGGGTTTTCGGAAGCATGAGCTGGCTGCAGGCCCGGTCTACCCGGGATGGCAGCGGCTGCGAAATGTGGAGGACGCAGTCGGCAGAGCCGTGGCCCGGGCCAAGGTCAGGCCCTCGGGGAGAGTGGGCTGTGGCTTCTGCGGGCGCCCGGGCCGACCGGGCCGCAGACCTGGGCTGCTTCCAGCGAGCCCGATCCGCGGCCCTCCTCGCGGCCAGGCTGCAGTGGCTTCGCGGAGCTTCGCTTTCGTTTCCCAAATTAGTAACTTTCCCCCAATCCGAGGCCTGGTGTGTGTAACGTTTTCTCCCKGATCCCAAGAAGGGGACCCGAAAGCCTCAGCCCAAGCCCCATTCTGATGAGCTCCCAGTCGACGTCTGGGCAGAGATGGGACAGAAGCCGAGGCCTAGGCCCCGCAGGGCCGGGAAGGGGAAGGCCACCTCTGGCGGGGAGCGAGCTTCCCTTTTATTTCGGACACAAACACCTGGATCCCTACGAAAAGGTCTCTCTCTCTACAATGCCAGCACCACAGCCCCGGAGCCCCCACCACAGTGAGAGCCAAGGAAAGACTTCAAGGAGATTTTTCGCCTCCGTTCTTTCCTGGCCACTTGAGCAGTGCACTCTCYCTCCATCCCGCTGCAACACATCGCCCTCCCCAGACCTGCCCCATCTTCCTTTCAGAAGTGTGCTGTCTGCCCTCCTTTTTGCAAAAGTCCTGCCCTGATTTTAATACTGCATGGATGGGAAAGCCTATGGTCCTATTTTTAAATTAAAAAAAAAACACAGAGAGAGCGATTGCTATAGATCTTTTCCATTTTCCCCCTCCATTTTTAAGAAAGTCGCATTCAAAATTACCACATTGTTTTTCTTCCCCAAAGARAATACACTTAAGCATACAGTCCCTTCCTTTTCTATCCCCATGGTGTCCCTGTCTCGGCCTCACAGGGGTCTCYAAAGTAGAAAGAAGTGCGTCCGGGACTGGGAAAATTATAATAGAAACGAGAACAAAACTCAACTTTGACCAACTCCTTTTGCAAGGAAAGGGTCAGGCTGAGGATGGGAAATTCTCTTTCCTCCGAAGGTCATTTCCCTCTCCCCTACTGAAATCTGGCTCTATTCTGTTTTTTTTCCAGGACCACAATCTCTTCCTTTCCAATATTTCATTCAGCTTTTACTTTCCTCCGTTTTGACCTGAAATTGGTGGGAAGAGTACCACTGACAGTTATTATTATGTATTAACATGCAATATCCCCATCCAATATTGCCACCAAGAAATATTGTTGCCGCTCTCCATATTTGTATGCTTAAGAATTATTCCTCCCTGCTCCCCAAATTGGGAGGGTTTCTCCTCCCTGCTAAGGTGTAACAAAATRAAAAATGGAAGCAGGAATTCATTGTAGGGACCCAGCTGAGAGAACACAAATGCTGGGGATTTGCATGCTCCCCAAGATCCAAGAAGGCAGCGGTAAGTGGTGCTTGATAGTGATGGATCCCTTTGTTCTTGCCCCATTCAATTTGGGGGATCACCAGGGGAGAAGACTTAGGATCTAAGCTGAGAGAATCCAGAACATCTGTGGGCTGCAATGAGCCCGAAAACTCCCAACCATCTCTGCAGCCAGAACCCGCTAAAAGTCCTCTGGGTGGAGGTATCTTGTCTTCACCAAGAGCAACCCCAAAAGTGTGGGAGAAAACACACTGAATTCCAAGGCTCTGAGTTTGTAAGATGGAGACTGAGGCTAATACATCGTGTTCTGGGGTGCCGGCGGGGGGCGGGGGTCTGTCTGGATACCTTCTCCCTCAGCTGAAGGGTGGGATGGAAACTTGGGAGCCCCCTGTTCTCTGGGGCTCTGGAAAGACAAATTTTCTTTGGCAAACGGAACAGTGTCGCGCTGTCGACACGGCAGACTATTTTTCTTGTTCCCTTACAGGGTGGGAGGAGGGGGGGAAAGAAAGAAAGCAAGAAAGAAAGGGAAATTA